CCTTATGGATGCATCCTACTGTTGGAATCTCTATTCAAAGTTTTGATTTTTATTTTGAGACACTTGAATAAAACTATTAAGTGTTTCCTCCAATGAGGCTTCTTTTGCTGCATGTTGTGATTAGAACTTCCTTGTTGTTGATTGTTTCTCCATGAAAAATTTGGATGATTCCTCCAACCAGGATTCCAATAATGGGTGCCAAAGACATAAACCAACTTCTTAGTTCAACAGTCTTTGCATGAGAATAGAATTTACCTATGAACTTGTTGTAGACTACATCCCCAAGTGGCAAGTGAAGCTAGTATCAAAGACATGAACCAACTCTTTGCTACGTCCTTCAATGTGTAAGGAAAACATCTCATCCACAATTGATCTTCACTCAGATTTTGCAAAGGAAAAGTCTGCAAATTTGAGTAAAAATCACGAATAAATGTCAAAGGATCTTCCGTGGCCATCCCATGGGATGAAGGAAGCATCTGAAAATGAATATTTTTTAGCTCATAATTCCTTGTTGCGACACTCAAAACAATACAAGAGGGCGACGTTCCAATGGTAGGATGTACATACTCCTTCATTGGGCAACGTAAATTCGCCATTTCTTCTTCAAATTCTAAACTTGATTCACTTGGATCTTCCGACTCTTCTGAAATTTCCGGTTCTCTTCTCTTCCTACTGATCAAATTCACTATATCAAGGTGAGGAAGTACTTCTTCGTCTAACGATCTACGACCTTGCATTTAAAAACTCAAAACACCAAAAAAAATCGTAACACAAAAATAAACAAAATCACAATAAAATAACTAAAATGAAAGCACAAATATCAAAGAAATTAAATAACTCAAACAAATCCCTAGCAATGGCGCCAAAAACTTGTTGAGAAAACTAACGAAGTCTAATCCTTGCAAGTGCACGATCGCAACTATAGCCTAGTGTGCAAAGCAAGGGTCGATCCCATAGGGAATTGGGAGCTATTAATAAATTTAACATTGTGCAAAAATCAACCAAGATAATGAAATTAAGAGAAATAATAAAAAGGACCAGCAACCTAAATTAATCTAAAATCACAATAAAAACGCTAAAATTACCAAATATAACAAAAATGAAAACTAAATTACTAAATGTAACAAAAACGATAACTAAACAAAAGATCAAAAAATGGGTAACAATCTAGTGTATCCAATTTCACCGTATTCGTCATACTCTATGTTATTAATCTAATCAGTGTTCTTTGAATTCAAATCTTAAGGTCGATACTCACCAAAATAAGGTATTTCCATGGGCGTTCCGATTTAACCTAGTATTTTCATTAACCAAACTAGCTAGTGGCGTATAGCCTTGTCCAACTACGAAAACCCATTAAGCAAAAGAGTACCCAACCATTCACAAACCAATTTACACTTGTCGATGGCATCGCATAGACATAAATCACTCATCCACAAGATTAATTTTGAGATTAGCTAGTGGCGTATAGCCTAACCCAAACTTATACAATCAATTAACTGAAAATTAAAGTTGATCAGACAATAATAACGATCAATCAATTCAGCAAGCATAAATGAATGAAACTAAGATATATTGGATCAATTAGAGTAAAAACATAAAGTAATCTAATTAGGTTACATTGGATACACTAGAAAAGGAATTAGTTGTACATAATCACAAAGAAACAAACCTTGATCTTACCCATGAACATATGGATAACAAATCCACAAAAATGATCAAGATTTTATCCCTTCTAGCCAAAACCCCTTCTCAAAGTTTTCCCAAAATGTTTACAAATGTGTTTAGTCTAAAAGCTACCAAAAAATACAAACTAAAGTTGCCTTTTTATAGTAATTACACGTGATGACATTTTTGTAAATATTGGCAAACAAAATTAGGGTTAAAAATGCTAATATTTTGCAAAATTAGTGGCTTGCGTTGCGATGTGTTTGAATGGCGCCGCAATGCACTTCCAGGCGATTTCTTCTTCGTCAAAAACCTGATCCATGCCGCGGCACAGTTGAATGGTGTTGTAGCGCCATTTGGATTTCGCCAATTTGTGCTGCTATGCCAAATGTCTTCCCCGCGGCACAACTTGGATTGTGTCATATTCACAACGTGGTGCAGGAAATCATGATGCGGCGCGACCTGAAATTTCAATCTTTTTCTTCTTGCCTTGATTTTTCCGCACTCGAACAGATCTAGGATGTCCAAACACCCAGTTATTTTGAAAACACCTTAATACCCGTGTCCGCGCAAGGACAAATAATCCATCTTTTTGCACCTGAATATCTGAAAACACAACAAAACCTGTGATTCTGGAAGATAATGAAACATGCTAGGAATATCATAAAAAATCATGCACTAAGCCTTAAATTACTTACAGTTTCAACCCCAAATCACTAAATAAATCCGTATTTCCAACACTCATCAGCGCATAGCCCTGAACAACGGTTGCGCGTGGAAACGTGTAGCACCACAAATTAGCCTCAAACCCTAATCCACCAATCAATTCCTCAACATTTTAATTAATCAATTTTAACAAAAATTAATCAATTTGAACAAAATCAATTGATTATATGAAAAACCCAAAAACATATTTTTTCAATCAACAAATCAAAACATGCTTTTTCATTACAATCAAAGGAAACACATATATTTTTCCATAGATTATCAACATCTAATCTAGGGCTCCGATACCAGTGTAGGGTTTTAATCAAATAAAGTGTGGAATAATAAACAAAAATTTTATTCGAAACCCATTTAATCTCGGGTCATAGATTGATTTTAATAACCATTCAAAACAAATATATATAAAAGATTAAAGAATCATTATAATCAAACCTTCAATTGGAGGCTTCACTGATTTTTGATTGAAGAAAAACGCTTGCACTTCAAAAGGAGAAGTGAACGAACGGTGATCCACACAAAGCAAGAATGCCCACATGATCAATTTGCTAGTTTGAGAGTGAAGGTTCAAAGAAGGAAAAGGGAAGAAAATTTTCTAGGAAATTTTCTCTCTACAACTTTTTAGCTTGTGAGGCAAGAATTAGCTAATTAGGAAATAAGAGTTAATGCCCCTTTTTACAGGCAAACCCTAACCCTAATATTCCCTTGGCATATTTCAAAGAATATTCCCACTAATATTCATTATTTATAAATAAATAATTAGAATTTACTTAGTGCCCAAGAAAAGGTCGTTTTGATATTTTATTATTATTGCTTCAATCATACAATAATAATTCATTATTTAAAATGCATATACACCAATATATTAATTTAAGTAATGATAATTTATTCCTTTTAATATATGTACACCAATAGATATTTGAATAAATATGTAATCTTACAAATTAAAATTGGACATAGGCAACAACCTTCCAAGCAACAACCTTCAGCCAATGTAATTACACCGTAAGAATTACCAAAATACCCTTTCTCCCTAAAATTACAAAAATGCCCTTACTCCAAATCTTCTTTGATTTGTCTTTTAACTATATGACCCATAGACTCCTTATCATATCAGCAGCGGGTTATATCACAATTGGCGCTCAATTAATTGTCTCATTATACACCAATCTAGATTGGCCTCTCGGAAGGTATTAGGTTCACCTGATAGATTCGGATTCAACGTATCAGCTACCTATCAACGATATGGTTACCGTGTAATCAAATCATTTCATCAACTATTATCTTATCAAGGTTTGAAGTACATAAATAATGTCAACTTCAAATATACTACTTTGATATGTTTGTATTCGGTAATTCAAACTAACGACTTAATCGAAATTGATCACCAACTCAATTCCACAATGGCCACAGTTTTGTGGTCATTGTCATTTACCAAATTACTCAGCGAGATAAATTCTTCTGTACCCAAGAGTGATGAATCTTGTATCGATCCACCATAGCCATAGTGTACTTCTCAATGTAGCCAATCATTCTTGTACTGATAACCCTGAGTAGGACTACGTTAGGCTAGCGTCAAACTATACCAATATTTACACATGGCTTTCTGGTGATCTCAAATCTAAGGACCAAATTCACCACCATCTGTTAGAGGATATATTCCACATGCATTGGGGTTACCATCTATGTGGAATCCTCTAGTTGGTCAGTCTAGTGAACTTGCCAACAGTAAGCACCCATGGGTTGTATCAAGTTGTCACCAAACAACTTTAACATGAAAGTATCTTTCTATAGGGTCGTTCAACATTATGATAGCCTTAACATATTATCTGTGCCTTTACTTTAGGATAATACTAGGGCTACGAACGATTTCTAGAATGACCATTTAACATGATCAAAGGGTTCTTACAATCAAGATTTAAAGCACGTGATACCCTCATCATGATTCTACCATTCTAAGGACATATATTATAACATATATGAAATATGATTTACATAATATAGTTAGACATAATATATTCAAATTGCCTTTTAGTAATATCAACATGTTTTTACAAGTAATCAATCGCTACAATTAGATTGGCTCTAGGGCACCTACCTTAACACTATTATGTGAGGTTTAATTAAATTTAATAAGAATTTGATTCCTCACAAGAAATTTATTCCAACAAAATTTTTGAATTGTCATTTAGGGGAGTATGGGATTTGAATAAAATATTGGAAGCTAATATGATTAGCGTTAAAGGTTTAAATTTACAAGACACTAATAAAACTTTTATTTTTCCTTGTAGTCTCTTTTGGTAGTTTTGTGATATTTAGTTAGTGAAAATGAGCAATAAACTCATTTTGAGGATTCTTAATGACAACAAGCTGATCAGAACCAATTTTAATGATTGGTTAAGGAATTTGAGAATTGTTCACAATTTCGAAAAGGTCGGGTATGTCTTGGAAGCACCCCTACCACTTTCTCTAGCTCTTGATGCTACACCGTAAGAAAAGGAAGTTTTAAATGGCAGGAGGATGACTTACGAGCTTGAAGCTATATGCTAGCTTCAATGAACGTTGAGCTCTGGTGTAAGTATGAAAAGATGTAGAGTGCGAATGAGATAATGCTCACTTTACAAGAGTTGTATAGTGAGAATCCAAGGGTGAAGGAATACAAACTATGTGCGACACTGTTCGGAATAAGACTAAGGGAAGGTCTTTCCCCAGATGATCATGTCATTAAGATGATAAATATTCTAGGGCGACTGGATGCATTTGGGATTGTAATGTCAGACAGTCTCAAAGTGAATTTGATTCTGCAATGCCTTCCACCCAGTTTCAAGCCCTTCATCACAAATTATAGTCTCAATAGGATTGAGTACACTCTTCGTGAATTACTGAATGAGATTCTGCAATTCTACAACCAAGGAAGAAAAGAGAAAAGACAAGAAGAATTTCTTGTGGCTTCTTCAAGTAAGACTAAGAAGAAGGAATGGAAATCCAAGAAAGGTTCAAAAGTTGGACCGTAGAAAAAAGGTTTCAAAAAGGGTGCAACCAAGGCTGAGAAGGCCAAAGATAAAGGGCAATGCTTCCATTGCAAGAAAGATGGACATTGGAAGAGGAATTGTCCTCTATATCTCGAGAGCTTGAAGAAAGTCAAGCAAGTGTATTCTATTCTTATGTTATAGAATTTGAATTACGTGTTAATTCAAATGATTATTCTTGAATATTAGATTTAGCTACTGCATCTCACATTTGTGTTTCATTGCAAGCACTACATAATAGTTTTGCATTGTCAAAAGATGAAGTTATTTTGAAGATGACAAATGGAACAAAAGGTTGGGCCGAGGCAATAAGGACTTACCATTTGACGTTGCCATCTGGGCACATCATGTATTTGTATAGAACTTTGTATTATGCCAAAGCAACTAGAAATATCATTTCTATTTCTATTTTATGTAAATATGGTTATGAAATACAATTTAATGGAAAAGAATGTCTAATTTATTTTTGAAATGAATTATTACGCAAAGCTATTAATAAAATGGTTTGTATGTTCTAGAATTGAATGATCATAACATAATTAATACCATTACGAATAAGAGATCTCGAAATGAAATTAATTCGAAATTACTTTGGCATCATCGATTAGCTCATATAGGAGATAAAAGGATTATTAGGTTAGAAGCAAATTGGCTTTTAAGCCCATTGGGTTTAGAACTCTATCCGACTTGTGAATCTCCTCTTTAAGGAAAAATGACTAAATCACTCTTTAAGAGTAAATGGGAAAGATCTAAAGAGTTATTGGAGCTAATACATACTGATGTATGCGGACCATTTAATGAAATGGCCAGAGGAAACTTTCAATACTTCATTACCTTTATCAATGATTATTTTAGGTACAAGTATGTGTATTTAATGAAATACAAATATGAATCCTTTGAAAAGTTCAAAGAGTTCGAGAATGAAGTAGAGAAACAAAACGAAAAGAGTATTAAGACTCTGCGATCAGATTGCGGTAATGAATACTTTAGTATGCAATTTCAAGATTTTCTGAAAGAGAATGGTATTATATCCTAGTTGACTCCTCCATATACGCCATAACATGATGATGTATCAGAAATGATGAACCGTACTTTATTGGATATGGTATGGTAGATAGTAAGTTTTACGGACTTGCCAACATTATTGTGGGGATTTTCCCTTGAGACTGTTGTGCATATTCTGAATAGGGTACCATCTAAATCTGTCAAGAAGACACCATACAAAATGTGGTATGGTAAACCTCCTAGTCTCGAATATATGAGAATTTGGGGTTGTCCAGCTTATGTCAAGATTGTCAAGATAGATAAGTTGGACATTAGATCTAAGAAAGGTCAATTTATAGAATATCCTAAAGATAGCTTGGGATATTACTTTTACTTTCACTCTGATCCAAGAGTTTCAATCAGTAGAAACACACACTTCCTTGAGAAAGAGTTCTTAGAGGAAAGTAGTGTGGGAAGAAAAATTGTGCTCTAAGAAGAGTCCAAGGAGCCTCACACCAAAAACACTCAGATGGGTGGTCCTCATAAAGAAACCTTAACACCTTAAAACGCTTCGGTTCACAAATCATCTAGAGTATCTTGACCTCCAGAAAGATATGGATTATTTCATGAGGAGATTTTTGAATCTATCATGATTGGAGAAGTGAAGCATGGATATGATCCTAGAAGCTATGAAGAAGCGATATTAGATATCGATTCTGGAAAATGGCTAGAAGCTATGAACTTTGAGATAGAGTCCATGCATGCTAATCAAGTATGGACTCTTGTTGATCCTCAAGAAGGAATACTTCTTATTGGATGTAAATAGGTCTTCAAGAGAAAGATTGGCAAACATGGAAAGGTAGAGACCTATAAAGTTAGACTGGTTGCGAAAGGTTATACTAAGAAATAAGGATTGGATTATGAGGAATCTTTCTCACTAGTCACCATGCTTAAATCAATCAGGATTATGCTAACCATAGTTGCACACTATGATGATGAGATATGGCAGATGGATGTCAAATAGCGTTCCACAATGGATTTATTAAGGAAAATATCTACATGCAACAACCTATAGGTTTTGTATCCAGATATGAAAGAAATAAATTGTGTAAGCTGCATAGATCCATTTATGGGTTAAAACAACTTCAAGAGGCTAGAACATCTAGTTTGATGAAACAATCAAAATGTTTGGTTTTATAAAGAATTCGGATGAACCTTGTGTTTATAAGTGGACAAAGGATCGTCCAATCATATTTCTCATACTGTATGTAGATGACGTACTATTGAAGGGAAATGACATTGGAATGATGACTAAAGTTAAAATATGGTTATCTAGAACATTCTCCATGGAAGACTTAGGAGAAACAACCTATATCGTAGGATTTCGTATCTATAGAGATAGAGCAAAAGGATTAATATGCTTATCCCAAAGGATGTACATAGAAAAGATGCTAAAACAGTTCAGCATGCAAGACTCTAAAGGGGCTTTTTTTTGCCCTGTAGTCACAGAGTTCATCTTTCGAAAGAAATGAGTACCAAGACTGATCAAAAGCACGAGCGGATGCATATGATACCCTATGCTTTAGTTGTAGGTAGTCTCATGTACGCTATGCTATGTACTTGGCCTCATATAACATATGTTGTAAGTGTTACAGGTAGATATCAGTCCAACCTAGAGGAGAAGCACTGGTCTACTGTTAAAACAATCCTTAAGCACTTAAGAAGAACTAAGGATTTAATCATGAGTTACGAAGGTTTAGAATTGAAGATTCAGAGATGCTCGGGCTCTGATTTTAAGTCAAACATGGATGATAAAAAGTGTACATCTGGATTCATTTTCACTTGTAATGGAGGTGCAGTCAATTGGAAAAGTTCCAAACAGTCGACTACTGCCAATTCCACTACAGAAGCTGAATATATTGCCACTTTGAAAATAGCAAAAGAAGTTGTCTAGATGTGCAAGTTCTTAATTGAACTTGATGTGGTTCCAAACATGGGTTATCCGATAACCTTGTATTGTAACAATACTGGTGATATAGCACAGGCAAAGGAACCAAGGGCGCACCAAAAATCAAAACATATTCAGTGTAAATATCACATTTTGAGAGAATTCATTGGAGCTAGAGAAATTTTGGTGTAGAAAACACCTTTAGCTGAGAATGTAGTTAACCCACTCACTAAAGCGATGACATAGAAGCAGTTGGACTATCATGTTGAGGAGACAAGCATCATCTACCACAGCGATTGACTTTAGTTCAAGTGAGAGTTTTGTTAGTGTATGCTTTAGGAACCAATCGTGTTGTCAGTTCCAAGACATTAAATCTTGTGAATAGTTTATCAACAAAAGAAAGTGTTCTTGTTTCACATGTTGATTTACCGCTTCATTTATATTATTAATACCACATGTGAAATGTCTGGATGATACGAATCTTCAAAAGATCAAATCATCAAAGCAGTCTCTACGTAAGTAATGTTAATTGGGCAATAACACTGTATAGTATGTATGCTAAATGTCTCCATTGAATATCATGTGATGGTATTAGTGTGTGTGATTATAAAAGTTATATCACTATGACATTAGCATGGATAAACAGTTAGTGAACTATTTATCGAATATGACCAATTACGATGAATCACATAGACATTTAGAATGTGGTCAATGGTACATCGTAGAATCTTACTAGTGTACCACTAGTCCTTAGACTTGAGATATCACAGTTGGATTCAACACAGGATGCAGATAGTTCATATGGTTTATAAGCATAAGTCTAGTCACGTTTTATGCAAGAAGCCGGTTTGGTCATAAGTTATTCATGTGCGAGGACAAGTGATAGTCAAGACAAGATACATTAACTTGAAATAGTTTGATCTCGAGTTCTCAGTTGAATGTCAATAAACATTAGAAAAAGGAAATCTCTGGCCAAAGTATATAAGGATGTCATATGAAAAGTAGTTTCATAATGACATGTTTCATTGTATTGATTGACAATTCGATTAAAGATTAAGTTAAGGGTTTTGACATATCATGAACTTATACTTAATCAGGATTGGACGACGGAAGGATCTTACTTGATGGTATGTATGATCGGAAAAAAGTTCATTGGAGTTTAACTTCATTGTGGTGTAGGGGTTATAGAGCATTGCTAGATGCCTACCACGATCAGCGAGAGTTTCGATCATAAGGAGTTATGAAGAAATATATCAAAATATGATATTTGGCCAACGACTAGGTCATAGTGAAACTAAGTAGTCACATATTAAAACCAAATAAAAGAACAGAGTAATACATATCGTTAAAGGTTAACGATGTTCGGATTTAAATGTGTACATCCGAATTTATGTATCGGTGATAAATGATTACTCATGAAAAACTAACACTTATCATGGGTAATAAAGTCATTTGGTCATTATTGGATTAGATTCAATAATAGACTAATATATATTTATTGGACTAGATTCAATAATTGGTTATATATATTGCCTTGTTCTGTTCAACACTTGACATGACAGTTTGCTCGTAACCACCTTATCATATTATCTTTAACCGCACCAGCACATCGAGTACAATTTAGCTTTAATGCGTACGATGGTTATAAGTATTAGTAACTTCCAATAATTTCCCCTTTGTTGACTTCTTGGGGTTTTTATTTGGGCTTCATGATTGGGCTTTTAAATTAGGGACCCATTAATTTATTGGGTCTTTTTTATGCTTTTAGTAACATTTTTTTTTTTTTTTTTTTTAACATAATACAAACATACAAAATTTCATATAACATTTATCATACAACTTGATGTGACAAAAGATGATTATTGATTTTAAATAAAATAAACTTTCACCCAATCATCTTTACCATCATATTGTATAATGTATATGTATAGTCATTATTTTTTTTTAACACAATATGTAAATGATGATTTTATGTTTATTTTATACTTTATCCATTATCTGATATTTATTATAAATAAATGATATTATAAAAAGTTCATTTTCAATTATATACTACTACTTTGAAAAAAATTATAAAACAGTATTTGAAATTTTGAATTTGATTGTTTTTACTAATAAAAATTCTTTGATCAACAAAAATGAAAATTGTTTACTAATTTCGTTTAACTTGATTCTCGGGACTCATAAAATATGTAGAATAATTACTAAACTAACATAAATAATTTATTATGTAATCAACACACTATCCTTCAAGTGTCTGCACATTAATCGTAGTGATTGTTAGGGCCAAAAATCATCCTTGGCCCAATAGGCAAACGGGCCCGACACTGAAGGAGAAGCTAGGCCCAATCCCGATATGACCCAACGGATTAGGCCCATTCGGTACAAGATAGCCGCCTAAACCATGTGGGCACGAGCCTCCTAATCTCAGTCCATTTCCTAGGTCCATGGGCGAATCCAGAGCCCACAACCCCCTCAGAATACTTTCCTACTCCTGATCAATCCCCATCAAGGTCACCTTCCTATTCTTGATACTTTCCTCCGGAGTCACTTTCCTACGGAGTCACTTTCCTGATCAGAATCACTTTCCTATCCGGACACTGGTAAGACAGTTTACCACGACCCTAATTCTGCTAGGGTTTGCATCAGAGTCATGCTAGGACTCCTACTTCTACCAGGATTTGGAGACCAGACAAGCACTATATAAGCAGAGGCAGCCCTCTCACAAGGGAGATCACATTACACCTTCACACACCGAAGCTCCTACTTGGAGCTTTACATCACCGCCGTAGTCACGGTCCCCGACTAGACTTCGGTAATCTCTATTCCCTAGCCCTCACTATATAGCCTTTTTCAGTCTTGTGACTTGAGCGTCGGAGTGCCTACGGCAAACACCACCTCGGTGTTTCCTGTCTCTTACGCGTGTGTTTCTTCTACATGTGCAGGTACAGCGGACGCTGGTGCCTAACCTCACGGGATCAGACCCCCCCTTCTGTACAGGTAGATTTTTACGTCTACAGTTTGGTGCCCACCGTGGGGACTCTAGCATCATTTGGCTCAACGAACCTTGCTACGTGGAGGAACATTCAATGGCGTGCATCCCGACAACGTTAACCTCGGCCTCGAGGCCAGACTGGGGTTTTGACCTCTCTCATGCAACAAAATTCCGACAAGGTGGCCGCACTGGAAGCTGAACAATGCAATCCGGACCGAAAATGCGTCCATTAGGGCTGAAAACCAGTCTGTAAAAGAGAAGTGAGTCAATTCTATGATCTCGAGTTCTTGCCCAACCAAGTAACCCAATCGGTTCTGCCCCCTACCCATCTATGCAACCACATCCACACCAGAGCATCAGCCCTGATCTCCGGTAAAGGCCGTGTCCGTAAGCACACTGGTGCTGGAAGACTCCGGTTTGACTAAGGAGACAAGATATGCACAGAAACACCATCCAGCCGACCCATGCCTTGTAACCAAGATAATCCAATAACGGAAAGCCACATCCACAAGACCAGCCCACCCTCACCGTCCCGCTTCACCTCCAGTTACAACTAAACACAAACCCTATCGGCTCGGCTCACCCTCGCGGGTTGAATGACCCAAACAAACCAACTCAGCACTCGAGCTCATCCATCCTGACTGACCGAGCGACTACCAATCGACTCCACTGACATTCATGTAGGGCGAAACAATAGAACAGTGACAATGGGAGTCACCCACCGGAAGGGATGACGAAGATCCTGCACAAGGAATGCACGAAGAACGATCTATCAGACTACCCCCGAGGGATGACCCAACAGAATGTGCTAAGAACGAATGCAGCAAGCAGTAGACCCAAATAGACAGAATGACCGGTAGTATCCCCTTGCCTATGGAACAAGTATTGGCCAAAAGACTGGCCGACATCGAGGCAGGGATGAGACGTATTCCAGGTATGCGGGTCCAAACCAGAAGAGCAAGCCCCATGTTACGCTGATTCACCCTTGTGGATGAGATCGCCCTAGCCGACATGCCCCAGAATTCACCATCCCAACATGAAACCGTACGATGGTACCACCGACCCGAATGACCACATAGCCTCGTACAAGCAGCGAATGTTTACGTCTCAATACCCCGAACGCTTAGGGAAGCCTGCATGTGCAAGAGTTTCGGTTCTAGTCTATTTGGCCTGGCACTCCATGGTACACGAACCTCTTGAAGGATCCAGACTCATTCGCCTAGCTTACTGACACCTTCGTGGAATAATTCGCCAGCAGCAAGAAACTAGAGAAACTATCGGCCGACCTATACGAATATACCAGAGAAGGGGAGAGCCATTGAGAGAATATGTCAGCAGATTCAATAGAGAAAAGATCTCTATCCCCTCGTAACCCTAAGATTGCTGTGGACGCTTTCAGGAAAGGCCTCCTCAGAGAAATATACAAAGAACTTACGAAGTTGGGTTGCACCACAATGGAAGATGCTCTGGCCCGGGCGGTTATCCAGATAAGATGGAGGAAGATGAGATGACCAAGCTGCCCATTCTAGAATGAATCAAGGCGGAGCGACAAGAAGCCAGAGCCTAGACGGTTAGAGCACCGCTACCAACCTCCAAAAACGTACCAACCTCAGCACGCAATTGAGCAGAGTCAGGAAGCTTTATGATCACAACCCACGAGAAATGTAAACAGGCAGTTTGGATCGAACACACAAAATACCAGAGTACAACCTCAATGTGAACCAACCCAGTCTAGCAATAATGAAGGACTGGGATCCACTGTCAAGTGGATGGCAAGCTCAATCTCGAGGCAGGAGAGACAAAACCAAGTGGTGCGAGTTCCACAGCGACCATGGGCACAACACCGGAGACGTATTGCCTTGCGGCCGAGGTTGCTGCATTCTGAAGGGGACATCTCCGTGATCTACTTATTGACAAGAGGAAGAACACCATTAGCCAGAAAGCTACAAAAAACCGTCACCCCCTCCGCGGGAACCCATACTGAAGGTTTCTATTCGCTCATCTGGAGGAT